AGGGCCATCGAGTCCAACCCCCTGCCAAGCAGGAAACACCATCAGAGCACTCCTGACATATGGTTGTCAAGCCTCTGCTTGAAGACCTCCAAAGAAGGAGACTCCACCACACTCCTTGGCAGCAAATTCCACTGTCAAACAGCTCTTACTGTCAGGAAGTTCTTCCTAATGTTTAGGTGGAATCTTCTTTCTTGTAGTTTGGATCCATTGCTCCGTGTCCGCTTCTCTGGAGCAGCAGAAAACAACCTTTCTCCCTCCTCTATGTGACATCCTTTTATATATTTGAACATGGCTATCATATCACCCCTTAACCTCCTCTTCTCCAGGCTAAACATGCCCAGCTCCCTTAGCCGTTCCTCATAAGGCATTGTTTCCAGGCCTTTGACCATTTTGGTTGCCCTCCTCTGGACACGTTCCAGTTTGTCAATGTCCTTCTTGAACTGTGGTGCCCAGAACTGGACACAGTACTCCAGGTGAGGTCTGACCAGAGCAGAATACAGTGGCACTATTACTTCCCTTGATCTAGATGCTATACTCCTATTGATGCAGCCCAGAATTGCATTGGCTTTTTAGCTGCCGCATCACACTGTTGGCTCATGTCAAGTTTGTGGTCAACCAAGACTCCTAGATCCTTTTCACATGTACTGCTCTCAAGCCAGGTGTCACCCATCTTGTATTTGTGTCTCTCTCTCTTTTTTTTTTGCCCAAGTGCAATACTTTACATTTCTCCCTGTTAAAATTCATCTTGTTTGTTTTGGCCCAGTTCTCTAATCTGTCAAGGTCGTTTTGAAGTGTGATCCTGTCCTCTGGGGTGTTAGCCACCCCTCCCAGTTTGGTGTCATCTGCAAATTTGATCAGGATGCCCTTGAGTTCATCATCCAAGTCGTTGATAAAGATGTTGAATAAGACCGGGCCCAAGACAGAACCCTGTGGCACCCCACTAGTCACTCTTCTCCAGGATGAAGAGGAACCATTGATGAGCACCCTTTGGGTTCGGTCAGTCAGCCAGTTACAAATCCACTGAGTGGTAGCATAGTCAAGACCACATTTTACCAGCTTCTTTACAAGAATATCATGGGGCACCTTGTCAAATGCCTTGCTGAAATCAAGGTAGGCTACATCCACTGCGTTCCCTTCATCTACCAGGCTTGTGATTCTGTCAAAAAAACGAGATCAGGTTAGTCTGACATGACTTATTTTTCAGAAATCCATGCTGACTATTGGTGATCACAGCATTCCTTTCTAGGTGCTCACAGACTGTTTGCTTAATGATCTGCTCCAGAATCTTCCCTGGTATTGATGTCAGACTGACTGGGCGGTAATTATTTGGGTCCTCTCTTTTCCCCTTTTTGAAAATAGGGACAACATTTGCCCTCCTCCAGTCTGCCGGGACTTCGCCTGTTCTCCAGGAATTCTCAAAGATGACTGCCAGTGGCTCTGAGATCACATCTGCCAGTTCTTTTAATACTCTTGGATGCAGTTCATCTGGCCCTGGAGACTTGAATACATCTAAACTAGCCAAGTATTCTTGTACTATCTCCTTAGTTATTCTGGGCTGTGTTTCCTTTGCTGAATCATTTGCTTCAAATTCTTCAGGTCGGGCATTGTTTTCTTTATCGGAGAAGACTGAGGCAAAGAAGGCATTGAGGAGTTCAGCCCTTTCTGTGTCCCCTGTTTGCATTTCACCATCTTCTCCTCTGAGTGACCCCACTGTTTCTTTGTTCTTCCTTTTGCTACGAACATACCCATAAAAGCCTTTTTGTTGCTTTTAACCTCTCTAGCAAGCCTGAGTTCATTCTGTGCTTTAGCTTTTCTGACTTTGTGTCTACACGTGCTGGCTATTTGTTTGAATTCCTCTTTGGTGGTTTCCCCCTTTTCCATTTTTGTACACATCCTTTTTAATCTTAACTCAGTTAAAAGTTCTTTAGATAGCCACCCTGGCTTCTTTAGGCACCTTCCATGTTTCCGTCTCATTGGTATTGCCTGAAGTTGTGCTTTCCCTATCTCCTCTTAACAAACTCCCAGCCATCATGAACTCCCTTTCCTTTTAGTATTACTGTCCATGGGATCTCACCCAGCACTTCCCTAAGTTTTATGAAGTCGGCTTTCTTAAAGTCAAGAAATTGAGTCCTAGTATGCTTGGCTGCTCCTTTCCGCTATATAGTAAACTTCAGAAGAGCATGATCACTCGCGCCTAATGATCCTTCCACTTCTACCCCACTAACCAGGTCATCAGCATTGGTTAGGACCAGATCTAAAATGGCTGTTCCTCTTGTTGCTTCTCCCACTTTCTGGACAATGAAGTTGTCTGCAAGGCCAGTGAGGAATCTGTTTGACCTTATGCTCTTGGCTGAGTTTGACATCCAACAAATATCCGGGTAATTGAAGTCCCCCATTACTACTATCTCCCTTCCTTTTGCATGCTTGGCCATCTGTTCCAGGAAGGCATCATCTATGTCCTCCGTTTGGCTTGGGGATCTATAGTAAACTCCCACAATGAGGTCACTGTTATTCTTCTCTCCCTTGATTTTGACCCAAATGCTCTCACTTTGGCTTTGAGGTTCTAAATCTTGGATCTCTTCACAGGTATACACATCCCTGACATATAACGCCACTCCTCCTCCTTTCTTGTCTGTTCTGTTTCTCTGAAATAGATTGTATCCCTCCATTATTACATTCCAATCGTGGGACTTATCCCACCAGGTTTCAGTGATGCCTATTATGTCATATTTAGTTTGCTGTACCAAGAGCTCAAGCTCATCTTGTTTATTTCCCATGCTTTGTGCATTAGTGTACAGACATTGAAGTCCATTAATCATTTCCCGTGTCTCTTATTTAAGGATTTTTTCCTCCCACCACTAGGTCTGCGTGCTGTTTGCTCCATTTGGTCTATGACATTTGGATGATCATCTTCATCAATTGATAGACTCCTACCTTCAGGAGCACTGTCTCCCTCCCCCACATTAGTCAGTTTAAAGCCCTCCTGATGAGGTTTCTGAGATTTTTGGCAAAAACATTCCTCCCAACTGTTGTGAGGTGCAGCCCATCGCTTGCCAGAAGTCCATCTTCAAGAAACTGCAGTCCGTGATCTAAGAATCCAAACCGTTCCTGTTTACACCATTTGCGAAGCCAGCTGTTCACTTCCACTATTTTTCCCTCTCTCCCTGGGCCACGTCGTTCAACTGGGAGGACAGATGAGATGACAATTTGTGCATTTAATTGCTTCAATTTCCTGCCCAGAGCCTCGTAGTCTCTTTTGATCTTCTGGAGGCTATTGCTTGCAGTGTCATTGGTTCCCACATGAACCAAGAGGAAGGGGTATTTGTCAGTGGGTTTTATGATTCCTTGCAGTCGTTCAGTTACATCTTGGATCTTAGCCCCGGGAGACAGCACACTTCCCGAGACATCTTGTCAGGCCCACAGATCACTGCTTCTGTTCCCCTCAGTAGGGAATCCCCTATCACCACTACACGCCTCCTCTTAGGTCTGGTCGGGGTTCTTCCGTGAGCTGTCCGTTCCAAGGTCGCCTGCACATTCCCTGAGGACTGACTTTGCTGCTCATCTTCATATACCTGATCGACTGTAATGAGGGAGAGATCCTCAAATGGAGTCTGCTCTTCGTTTTCCATGCTAGATAGAGGACCTCAAAGCGATTGTGTATTTCTAAACAATCAGAGCGAACCCTGGGCCTCCTACTTCTTTGAGTCACGTTTCTCCATATATCTGGCTCCTGTGTTGGTGAACTAGCCTCCTTCTCAGGGGAGTCCCCTGTCTCCTCCTTGGTGGAGAGGGTGTGCTCTGTTGCTTCCAAGAAGAGCTCCAGCTCTCTAATTCTTTGGAGCGTAGCTACACGTTCCTCCAGTTGCTGGACTTTGTCTTCTAAGAGGGCAATCAACATGCAAATGCTGCAGGTAAAGCTGCCTGCAACCTTTGGCAAGATGGCAAACATTGCGCAGGAACCGCAGGCGACTGCAGCTGTTCCCTCCCCCTCCATCTTGAGAACGTATCGTTGGGGGTGGCTACAGCGGTCCTCCATCATAAAAAGTGTGAAGACAGGACAAATAACTCCCCCCCAAAAAAACCTAGGTCTCCTCCAACAAACGTTTGAGACTAGCTCCCCTGAATCTAAAAGATGGATCAAACTGCACAGGGAGAGCAGCTAATCAGCCACAAAGAAACACATACACAAGAAAACCCCTTTTCTCCTTCTTCAGCTGCTGCCCTGCAAGCTCTGATAAGCTTCTCCTATAGCTAATCACCTGCCTCAACAGAAACCCTGCCCCCTCTGACCTTTGCACAGGGAGAGCAGCTAATCAGCCACAAAGCAACACACACACAAGAAAACCCTTTTTCTCCTTCTTCAGCTGCTGCCCTGCAAGCTCCATAGTCCTATGCACTTTCTTTTTCTCTCTCTCTCTCTGTGTGTGTGTGTGTGTGTGTGTGTGTGTGTTGTGTTTCTGTTTAACCTTCAAAGAAGCTCAGAATTGTTGATACTGGGGTGATGAGGCTGGCACATTTTACCCTTAGCTGTCTGAGGTAGGTCAATCTAAGAGATGCTGAACTGACCCTGGGGTCTCCCGGTTTACTTTATTAGTGATTTACTTTATGGGTAACCTAGTGATTTGAACTTGGATCTTTTAGGTCTAACTGGCTTCTGGCAATGAGGCACTTACTTTGCTCATCATGAAGTACTCCCCCCCCCTTTCCTCACCTATCCTAAGCATAGGTAAAAGCAAAGCTAAACAAATGCAATTCCACAAAGCCCCAGACTTGGCTGTTAGAACTGACTAGAAATAGATTAAGTTCATAATTTGCAGGTTTTGATATCCTTGCTTAATTTATTCTTAAGAGGTTGTAGGGTACCATGTTGTCCACCCACAAATTCAGATTTCACGGGCACATGAATTTATCTGTGGGGGTCTCGTATTCAACCCGGCTGACTCTCTTGTGTTGCAGATACTAAAGTGACCTGTGAAGAATCTCCATGAAGGTGACCAGCCATGCAATGTTCTTGGAAGGCTGTCCTCCTACTTGCTTTGGCCTCCATTGCTATCCAGTACACAGCCATCCGCACCTTCACGACCAAGTCCTTCCACAGCTGCCCTGTGCCTCCCAACCCAATGAACTGTAGCCTGAACCAGGAGATTGAATCGGGCGACCGGCTGTGTGATGAAAACCCCACCGTCGCTTACAACACCTCCAAGAAGACACATGTTCTGATCTTGGCCACCACCAGAAGTGGATCCTCTTTCGTCGGGCAGCTCTTCAACCAGCACTTTGATGTCTTCTATTTGTTTGAGCCCCTTTACCACGTCCAGTACACCTTGATCCCGAAGCTGACGCAGACGAAGGGCTCCACGGACCGGCGGATCATGCTGGGTGCTGGCCGAGATTTGCTGAGAAGCCTCTACGACTGTGACCTTTACTTCCTGGAAAATTACATCAAGCCCCAGCCTGTGAACCACACGACGGACAGGCTCTTCCGGAGGGGGGCTAGCAAAGCTCTGTGCTCCCCACCAGTTTGTGAGACACTGGCGGCATCCGCCGACATACCTCTGGAAGAAGGTGACTGTGTGAAGAAGTGTGGCACTTTGAACCTGACCCTGGCCACCGAATCATGTAAGGATCACGGGCATGTTGCTATCAAAACAGTGCGGGTGCCAGAGGTCAATGACCTCCGAGCCTTGGTGGAGGACCCCAGGCTCAATTTGAAAATCATACAATTGGTGAGGGACCCCAGGGGCATCCTGGCTTCCAGGAGTGAGACATTCCGAGACACTTACAGACTTTGGCGGATCTGGGATGGCACAGGCAGGAAGCCCTACAACTTGGACGTGACCCAGCTCACCACCGTCTGTGAGGACTTTTTGAACTCTGTTTCCACCGGGCTGAACCGGCCGCCTTGGCTCAAGGGAAAATACATGCTGGTGAGGTATGAAGACCTGGCCAGGAATCCCTTAAAAAAGACCGAGGAGATGTATGAATTCCTTGGCATTCCCATGGACAGCAACGTGGAACGATGGATACAGAACAACACAAGGGGAGATCGGTCCGCAGCGAAACACAAGTACGGGACTGTCCGGAACTCGGCGGCAACTGCAGAGAAGTGGCGGTTCCGCCTCTCGTTCGAAATTGTGGCGTTCACGCAGAATGCATGCCAGCAAGTGCTGGTACAACTGGGCTACAAACTGGTGTCCTCCGAGGAGGAATTGAAGAACCTCTCCATCAGCCTGGTGGAGGAGAGGGACTTCCTGCCCTTCTGGTAATGCAGACATTAGGGACTCGTGTTTTAATGCTGATACGAGCCATTTCTAACTATTGCCTTATTTTCCTTCTTCCCCTCCTACTCTCTGAAATTTGCACTAATTCTTTGAATGGAAGTCTCCAAAAGAGTTAACATGAAGAAGGTGCCCCCGCTCTCAGACCATAGTATGGATTATGAGTATTGGGTCTCTTAAGAACAAGAGCTAAAAACACAAACTGCGGATGGGTAGCAATGTTTACAAATCACACACACGTAACAATGTATAAAAGGGAAAAAAAGTAACCCTCAGGCTTTCCACACCGAAGGGCACCTGAGGAATTATACTTTTGCACTGTTTACTTTTACAATGTAAGAGATAACTATAACTATATATATATATAAATATATATATATGTCTAATTTATGAATAGTGTTGTCATCTCCCACCTAACTCCTCCTGATTATGAGCAGGTTTTACTGTTAGCTGAATGTGGAAAAGTCTCCTTGTTTTAAATCTTGTTTTGATATGTCTGAGTCATGTTATCAGGCTGGTCGCTGATCCATGGTTTGTTGAGTAACACCTATGACATTTATTTGTGCCAAAAAAGGAAAGGAAGGAAGTGGTTTGCTGAACATCAACAACAATACCTTAATGCTTTATCTCTGTGTTTTCTGCAAATAAAGAATCCAATAAAATCAATTGTTCCTGGAGGGACAAATTCACCAGGCCAGGCTCAATGAATTGTCAGACCATTTAACTCTCCTCAAGACCAAGTGTAATGGTGGGGGTGGAAGGGGAAGGATGTGTGCGACTATTAGACCTTTAAAGATCCAAAGATTGATAGCAGAGTACATCATAGGCAGACAGGCTGATTATCTGATTGTTAAGTGATGAGGTGGAGAAATAATGGCAGTTCCATGATCCGTATGCATTTTAACCTCCTGCCTTTTTAATGTGTAGTAAATTGGAACTAGTTACCTTGATATAACAAGAAGAAGAAGAAGAAGAAGAAGAAGAGTTTGGATTTGATATCCCGCTTTATCACTACTCGAAGGAGTCTCAAAGCGGCTAACATTCTCCTTTCCCTTCCTCCCCCACAACAAACACTCTGTGAGGTGAGTGGGGCTGTGAGACTTCAAAGAAGCGTGACTGGCCCAAGGTCACCCAGCAGCTGCATGTGGAGGAGCAGAGACGCGAACCCGGTTCACCAGATTACGAGACTACCGCTCTTAACCACTACACCACGCTGGCGTAGAATTATAAGAGTATTCTAAGCCTGCTCAAGAACTCCCTCCACCTCCCCAACTAAGTTGGCGGTTTTTTGTTTCATCTAGAACCACCAGGCACATTAGGGAAGAACTTGTGATTCCAAGGAGAAGAGCGCACGTCTGCATGCATAATGTCCCAGGTTCAATCCCCGCCATATCCAGTTAAAACGATTTGAGGTCACAGGACTGGCAAAGACTTCTGCTTGAAATCTGAGAGAGCTGCTTACAGCCATGTACGGCAGTGCGGGAACAGAGGGAGAAATGCAGCATAAGGCAGCCTCATATGATTATTTACCCCCTATTTGCCCTGTTGCTCTGGTAGGTTCACATCTGCATTAGAGCCTGCAGCAATTCTAGAACTTCTAGCCTGCCTAACAGTTCCAGATCTCAGCAAAGGAACCCTGTGAGCTGGTGTTCTATGAGGGTTAATAAAGTATTTCCAGCTCCCTCCCAATATAATCACTAGTATTTGCAGGAAGCTATGGCATTAAACAGTTTTGAAATAATTTAAAACTGTGTGGGTTTATCTACGCTGTGGATGTTAATTGACTTCACAGTCACATCCTTTCCCACAGCAAACTCCAGGAGTCTGTGGGCAGGGCTAGGACTGTCTAGAGATTTCTTACCACTCTTACCAAAATAAAACCTCCGGGATTCTTTGTGGGAATCCAGGGGAATTAAAAAGGACCTGAAAAGATACAGAATCGCACTATGTTCTTCTTTTAAAGGTCAGTTACACAAGTAGACTGTGTGGGGGTGGGGGTGGGGCAGAAGGAAGAGGGAACCATGGCATCAGAGGCAGTGTCAGGCTGGAAGGTGGGGGGGGGGGAACCTGAGCAAGATGCTTTCCAGGGGGTCTCCCACGCTCACCCTCTCTCCCTGCCTCACCATGATGTGCTCTCTTCCCTGGCCTCTTCCTTCCTGCCACCTGAGAGAGGGAGAAAGTGAACAAGTCCCTCCCACTATCTGGTAAGTGGGCAGGGGGAGGCAAAAGGCTCACGTTTCCCCCCCTTTCTTACCAGAAAGAAAAGAACAAGGGTCTCCTTCCCTTCCCTTCCCTTCCCTTCCCTTCCCTTCCCTTCCCTTCCATCCCATCCTCTAGCTAACTAGGCAATCTGCAGGAAGGAATTCAACATTGCACCCTTCTGATCATTCCGGCAGCACAAGCATTTATTTCTTCTTGCCAGACAGAACGATTCCCACTTTCCTCCCTCAACTTGCTATTCTGAGGGTTCTCCAGATCTTGTTTTTGGAAGACACAGGGGACGGGATGTAAGGAGCAGCAGCAAAGCCCTGTTGTGTTACCAAGAGCCCTTGTTCTGGCTTCTGTTGGCGCACCAGGTTAGTTGAAGTTGCTTCAAAACTTTTCCCCCAAAGATTTTTGGGCACCAGCACATGCAACTATCTGCAAAACGTTAAAGAAAGCAACAAAGATCGGTTCCTTCCTGCTCATGCACCTCCCAATTGGTCCCGCAATTTTCTTTCAAAATAAAAGTGGCCAAGTTAACCCCATGGGATTCTACCAGCTGAAAATCTGGGTATATTCTGGGCTTGTTTCTGACTAAATTGAGCTAATTCCCCTTCTCATGGATATAGTCGTACCTTGGAAGTCGAATGGAATCCATTCCGGAAGTCCATTTGACTTCCAAAATGTTTGGAAATCAAAGCCGCAGAAGTGGCGCCGGACGTTCAGCTTCCAAAAATCATTCGAAAACCGGAACACTCACTTCCAGGTTTTGATTGTTCAGGAGCCGATTTGTTCAGGAGCCAAGGCATTCAAGATCCAAGGTACAATTGTATTGAGCAGGAGAAGACAAAGGAGGTGCCTGTTTTTAGCAGCAGGAAGAGCAGTATGGCATGCTGGGGTGTGTGCATGCATGTGTGTAGGGAAGGGAGTTGTGTTCCCACCGTAGCCTTCCTGTCCCTCACCTCCTGCCTCCGTGTGAGGTAGGTAGTCCTCATGCAGACTCCTCTTTCCACGTGCAGATTCACTCTTGCTGGACTTTGAGCCAACTCGTTTAGGCTTGAGCTGAAGTTTTATATGTGTTGGCATGATCTTGGCTACTGAATCAAACCTGTGGTTGTTGGATTGTTGGAAGTGGGCATCTGAAGAGCAGTTAACTGGGGTTAAGGGTAAGGGTTGTACATGCTACATTGTGTGTGATAAATAATGGGACTGATGGGGGCAGTAAGTGGAATTACAATATTCAATGGGCCAGAAGATTTTGGGGGGCGGGGGGCGGTTTCCAGGTAGGAATTGGAAGCATGCAAATGTTTAAGGTTTTAACTATTTGTTTTTATTATTAATCCCAAAGGACCAGGACCATTGGTTTTCTGTCAAAAAGAAAATGTGTTCCTTATAACCTTCTGCATTTTATGGTCTTCTCATCTGCATTCCAAAGGTAGCTGTCTTAGAGTCCTGAGACTGAGGCGTAATATTTCTCCATGACAATGAAACTACGTTCTTGGAATGTTTCTGTGTCTTCTCATTTCTGATGCTGTGACCAAGATTTTAGTTTGGGACATTACACACCAAGACCACCGTGTTACCTACCATGCAAGCAAACATGGATGCATCTTTTGTATAAAGCTTCAAAAAGATTAGACATCTTTTGATTAATTAAAAAGGAGTGCCTGATTAACTGGGTAGCAGATTTTTGGTTGGTTTTTTTTTAATGTTGATTATTTTTGTATGTAAGTACTTTCAGATCCCTGGGTAGTAGATGTCTCTGCAGAAGAAGTATTTCTCCTTTATTACACACATGAGTGTGTCATCTGAAAACAAAGAAGAATGCCTTTTCTTTGGAAGGTTTATTCATATGCAGATTTAATTGATTAATCAATCAATTAAAATGTATATAACTAATTCACTACAATTTATTTTTTTGAGTGACAGCCCTAATTTTGTAAACTGAAAAGGCCTTGGCACAAATAAATGTCAGTCTTTAATGGAATGTGTTAACTGCTGAGCCATTTCCTGTTCCCAAAGTGGAAGAGATAAGAAGGTGAGAAGCACATGCACTCATGTAAGAAGCTCCATACCAGCTGCCTGCCCAACACCAACAAGCCTTATGTTTATGGAGCCTTATGTTTACAGCATTTCTTCCCCAACAGTACTAGTGGCTATTTGATTGCCTGACACCCTTCTTAGTAGTCATATTTGCTTTATTTTAAAATTGATGCAGAAATTACGGGTACACAAAATCTATCTGAAACAACTTTTTATGAACAAGAGTTATTTGGTGGTCAGCAATCTCTGATGCCAGTTGAAAAGAAAATGACAAATTAGCTATGCCTAAAACCAAACAATATGGACTGTAGATTAATTCAGATGTTTGCTTCTGCCCCCTCTTTAAAAAACGAACAAACTTTTTTTTAAAAAAAACACCTTAAATATTCTGCCAGGTCAACTTGCCTTGGAGGTTTTAAACCTCACCTTGTAGTTTCCACCCACAACTCATGCCAACGGCAGCTACTGGAGTAGGGTTGGGGGAAACCCCACTCCATGGTATCCAACCACATGGCTAATGTTGCTCCACTGTGCAGCTGGCAGGAGGAAAACTAACTACAGAATCATTAATCTGCATGGTGAAAGGAATGTTAAGAGATTAGCTTTGAGCTGCAGTCCAAGAAGACACCTGAGAGTTGAATGCAACTAGATCCAACGAAAGTCTCATGGGTTGGACGGAGCAGGCGGGCAGTTTCCAAACTGCTCATAAAAGCACAGTAGACTTCCATAGGCTCTCAGTCTCTATCTTGAGTTATTTCCGCTTGGAGTTGTGATACATCTCCCAACAGAATTCCAATACTGAGTCAGTGTGCCATGTATCTGTGGGAAGAAAGTCATTAGGGGCTGGTATCGGCTGCCAAACATAGGGAAGGGAGACTATGCAGTTCCATTAATTTTTCTTCAGTGGCCTTTGAAAGGGCAGGGACATCAATTGCCGCATTGCATACCCATCCCGCTGGGGTGGTTTCACAAGGTGCCCCCCTAGCCTGAAAGATGAAAACCCATTTTAAGTGGGGATGGCTGTGAAAGGTCACTGGAAAAATGAGTTTGGTGGCCTCTCCTCTGGGCTTGTAGAGAAATGAGTGGAGCATTATAAATCATCTCCGCTGTCAAGAGAGAGATGGAGCTGGAAACCTCGCAGGAGAATGAAGAGGAAGGAAGTTGCCTACTCCCCCCCCCCCCGTATCCTTTCAGGCACTTCAGCACAGTGTTTGTTAATTGCCTGAATGTGTTTGATTGGTGCAGCTGGGTGTTGTTTGTACAACTTCCTATAAGTCCATGTGGCAGCTGCAGACAATGCTCAGCTGTGCCCATTCCACATAAAACACTCATGGTGCAAAGACAAACAGACCCTCATGTAGCACTGCGGATAAGTTTCATACCAGGCCTTGTACTAATCATCCATATTGATGAGGGGGAGGACCTAGAGGACTGAATACAGACCTCCAGGCCTCTCTATCTGGTCCTTGGGACCTTCCCAGGCCACACCCTCTTCCAAAGCCACAACTCTGCTTCCCAGGCCACATATCCCATTGACCCTGCTCTGCATGCTCTTTGAGTGCTTCTGCCTAGCTGGACTGTAGCTTTGATCTGTGATGGTGCCTCTTGCTTGCCTGGATTGGGAGGTATGTGTGCATGTAGGCACCTCTGGCTTTTGTGTGGCTGGAATGTAGCCTGCTGTGCAAAGGTCAGCGTCCTAGCCATGGCTCCACCCACTTTGGGGTCTGGCCCCGCCCACCACTGGCACATGATGGATCCTAGAAGGTTGTCAGTGTGGCTTATGAATTGAAAAAGCTTCTCCATCCCAGTGCAGGTAAGGTGGGGTGGGAAATAGGTGAGGGAGGGGGTAAAATGTTTATTCTGTCTGCATTTAAAGCTGAATCTATCAAATTCACGCTTTATATGAAAACCAAACCACAGCCATTTGTTGAAATGCACACCTCTCTGAATTTTGCTGTGCAGTTCTCCAACCAGTGGGGCAAGCATGCATAAAAATGAATATATCATTGAAAGTAACATACAAAAATGGGGGGAAATGCTTGCAAAAAGGTGCACAATAGTTAAAACTGCACCCAGAGTAGTGTCTGTTAGTATAAATGTGCACTAAAATGCTAATTTTCAGGAGGATTTTTTTTTTTTTTACATTGCTGCAGAAATGTAGAGAACCAATTTTAAGATCGGAAAAATGAGAGAACCAAAACTGACCCATTCTTTCATCCCTAGCTGTAGCCTCTTCTACAGCCTAGGGAACAGGAAGCCGCTTTATACCATGTAAGACCATTCTAGCTCACTATTGTCTAGAGTGGCTGGCGGCAGCTCTTTGGGATTTCAGGCAGGGATCTTCTCTAGCCCTGGAGATGCCAGGGGTGGAACCTGAGACTTCCTGCATGCAGGCACAGCTCTTCAGCCTCTCACAGTGACCGGCATTCAAAACATCACTATTAAAGTGGTACCTCGGGTTAAGTACTTAATTCGTTCCAGAGGTCCGTACTTAACCTGAAACTGTTCTTAACCTGAAGCACCACTTTAGCTAATGGGGCCTCCTGCTGCTGCCGCGCCGCCGGAGCACGATTTCTGTTCTCAACCTGAAGCAAAGTTATTAACCAGAGGTACTATTTCTGGCTTAGCGGAGTCTGTAACCTGAAGCATCCATAACCTGAAGCGTATGTAACCTGAGGTACCACTGTAGTTATCTCTCATTTTGGTACCAACCTGATCTGTAGGAAGGGTTTCTCGAACAACAAGGGTTGCAAATTCCTCAACAAAGCTGGACACCACTGTTCAGCTTCAGAGGCCAAACTCTGCATTAATAAAACACGTCAACGGCAGAATCCTATGCCCGTTTGCTTGGAAGAATGTTCAAACGGGCTTACTCCCCAGGTAAGTGCATTGTGTTGCAACCAAGCCCTTCCTATGCAGGCCTTGGCTACTGATGCACCTTGAGAATATTCTCTTCTGAAGTAAATAAATTACTTGATCGGCCCATTATTGTTTACTCAAGCAAATTAATCCTTTAGCATGCATCTTCTTGTAGCCTAGTTACTCGGTAATAGGGCTCTTACAAAACCTTTACTGGCTGGATTGGCCTGCTTTATGCAGCCACAGAGAAATGCGAAGTATCCCATAGTAACTTATTTCCTGCAATTCATTTCAAGCTGCATTGAAGCTTTAAGAATGCTCCTTATTGTCTTAACAGTGCTGTGCTCTTGGCCCCCCAAAAAGGAGCCAGATTTTGCACAACAGAAACAAAAATTGCCTGTCCCATCAAGCAGATTTGCTCTCAGTTCTGGCATAGCTTATTCTACTCCCAGGACGCTGTGGTTTTCAAATAATTTGGGGTTTTTTTTCCTAAGAAGGATCATTGTTGTGGGAAAGAGAATAAAAGTTGGCTGCCTTGCCAGGGGGCAGTAGCCATATGGAAAATATAGCAATATGGTGTTTGAAAATTAGGAACCTGGGGGACATCAGCTTATTTGTGAAGTACTCTTGAGATAAGGAGCAGTAGGGAGACAATGATCAAACCCAATGCGAGTTGATACAAAAGAGGGGGTGCAATATTCACATATTTCAGCAACTTTTCCAAAATGAGATGAAAGTGTTCACTTATGCAGAGAAAGGGTACTAGTTAACTGGAAAGCATGGTCGTCACTCTTAATTGGCTGTGTTTGTCTTCAACGATATCAAGTAGCCAATTCTGAATTGCTATGTAACACTGCGATGTCATCATGTTCTGTATATATCACCTGATTAGTTAATATTATTCAAGGAAGAAAGGGAGATATTGCCCTGGGGCAGCAGTGGCAAAGAAACAGAGGCTGTGAACAATTGCAAATAGCACTGTAAAAGATAGAGGGTAAGTTTGAAAAAATAGGCATTTCACTACACCACAACCCATTTATTTGTTTTCTTGTTTGTTTGTTCACTTTGTTAGCCTCTATCACTGCTTTCTCTGCAAACTGCAACAGAGGAACATAATCATAAACATACATTTTTCCTGGTTTTACACACACACACACACACACACACACACACACACACACACTATATATATATAAAACAACACACTTCTCTCTCTCTCTCTCTCTCTCTCTCTCTCTCTCTGTGTGTGTGTGTGTGTGTGTGTAAAAATCTATCTATCATCTATCTATCTATCATCTATCTATCTATCTATCATCTATCATCTATCATCTATCTATCATCTATCTATCATCTATCTATCTATCTATCATCTATCTATCTATCTATCTATCTATCTATCTATCATCTATATCTATCATCTATCTATCATCTATATCTATCATCTACCTATCTACCTATCTGTATGTGAAATTACCTGCAGCAAATATCATGGACATCTACCAGATAAACACTCCTGAATTATGATCTCATTAGTGGTGAGTGCCATGCTATACCCCAACTTCTTGTATACCTCCATTTTATGAACACAATTTTCTTTAGAACTCTTTAGCACTTGAGTGCTCCTTCACTATAGCTTACAAGAGTGAGAATGCTCATGTAGTCCTTTAAAAATAAGTGCTGGGTGAAATTCAAGGATCCCCACCTCCATTTCTGTAGCAGTGCACCACCTGTTTGTGGCTTCCCCCACTTTAATTCTCTCCTGCTGACTTCCAGCATCTCAAGCTGAATTGTACAACGGCTGTGTTTAATCATAAGAAGGCTACCCCTTTACAACACAGCAAACCCCACAGCGAGGCTCTCCACCCACACTGTTCCTGCTTATTTCCTTTAGTTGAAAACAAGGATCAAACACCAAACAAGGGGGTTATATCTTAAAAATTTATTATCTTCCAAATATAGAAATGAATATTCACTGAACTACACAAAACAAAACAAACCCATGCTCCAAACAAAGTGGGTAGGGTGGAGCAGTGTCTATCAAAACCTAGAAATAAACTGCTTATGTTTTAGTAATGAAGAACCGACAGTCACTTGCCTCCCTGTTGTTCATGCTTCCTCGATCTAAAGGGTGCTGTGGGTGGTAGAACTGAAGAGGCAACATCAGTTTCAGCCGGGTGATGTTTTTCAAGGTGGAAATTCTTGAAAGAATGGAGGGGGTTTGTTTGACAGCAGAAATGAAGAACCCTTGATGGAACCCCAGATTCTTAAGACCAGTACTGGTCCAAGATGAATATCAACACTCCAATTTCGAAAAGACTTCCTGGAGCAGACATCAGTTCCTGCCTTCATCTAGCCCCTAAAATTATGACACATGACATGCTGAAAAAGTATGCTTCACCTTGCTACATTTTAGGACTTGCCTACTTAAGATCTCTTTCACACAAGATGCAAAAAGTGCCTTTCAACCATAATGTGCTGTTGCTGTAGCACATTATGGATCAGACTTGTGGGAAAGCGTTCCTCTGACCATGTCAGGCCTACCAGCTAAGCTGCTGCCAGAGCCTATTCTGAATTAACAGAGGCTTTGATTCCATTTAGTTAAAATAGAGGCACAGCCAAAGAAAGAAATTGAAGATGTTCTACTCACTCTCACAAGTATCCTATGACTTGGAATGAGCTGCAGCTACTGTAAATTTGACCCAAGGCAGGGGATTGCCTAAGCTCTTTCTTTCTTTCTTGGCTGTGACACCTTAGCATGGTATAATGAAACCAGTGCTTGTTTTATTCCAGTGAACCATGGAGCACTGCTAGTAAACTACTGTAGATAGGATACTTTGCTTCCTACAAGGGTTCCTCATCCTACCCGGGGGCAAGGGACCAGAATAAAAACATATTAAGGTGTCCGTGCTGCCTGGCCAAAAGTGGCTGGGGAAGCTAGCTATAAAAAGGTGCCCTGCCTGCTCTTTAGGATCCAGAGAATTCAACTTGGGGCAGTTCAGTCACAATGGGCATACAATTCTGTGTGGTCAGGGGCAGAACCAGAAAAATCCTCATGGCTTATAGCAGGGGTCTGCAACCTGCGGCTCCGGAGCCGCATGTGGCTCTTTTACACCTTTGCCGCGGCTCTGGGGCGGATACTAGCGAGGGGAGGAGGTGCATTGTGTGCCCCGACACTCCCCACTGTGGCGGGCGCTGTACTGGCTGTGACGTTGCATGGGGGCGGTGCGTGCGTTAGTCACGCACTGTCCCAACGTCACCTTCCCGCCCGCTGTCAGATCGGAGGGCAGCGGCGCGCATGCTTTAAATGTCGCAATGGTTTTGCGGCTCCCAGTTTTTTTCCCCTTCGGAAACAGGTCCAAGTGGCTCCTTTTGTCTTAAAGGTTGCAGACCCCTGGCTTATAGCATCACAGGCTGTTTTCAAGGGAGAACAATGAACAGATACCAGCCATCTTGGGCTCTGCAAATTGCAGAAGACTACTTAGTTAAACACAGGTAGGCATTCTGGTGTCAGATGGTATTGCGATAATGCGACCAAAAAAGGCAGGTATAACAAAATAAAACAGAAAGGTTGAAAGAGAGAAGAAATTTCCTCCAAGGGGAACTACATGCTGCCATGATGCGGAATAAAGCAAGCTTTAGATACTGGTCACACTAATGGTGCCTGTGAAGATATCGTAGTCAAGCAAAGCTGCAAAGAACCTTCAAGAGGTGGAAACCAGAATGATCCCAGCATCCAGGATATGAATAAAATATGTCTTCTGAATCTACTTAAGTCTGCTCCATTTTAAGTATCCAAAGATCAACATCCCTTTCATGAAAGAACCATAAACAGAAAAGGACAGAAAGGAGACAGAGCTTCTCGGGCACCAGTCTCAAGGACACATACGGTAACTGGAGGTAAGTCCCATTGAAGTCACATGGATTTACTTCTGCACAAACAGCTTAAGGATTGCAGGAGCAAAGTTTGGTCACTGGCCAAACTGGCAAGAAGAAGTGGGGGAAAGAATGGGTTTAAAACATGAGCATGGTTTACACTTTCTAAGGGTATAAGCGAGCATTGCCTAAAACATTTCATGTTGATGGTATCCCTGCCTGGTCAATGAACCAAAACAAAATTTGAACAACCTCAATTACAAATTGCTGAATTTGTCAGGAATAATGTGCAGATTATTTATGGGCAGAGTCACACCTCAGTTTTCATGGCTTTACCGGTAATTATTAGAAAACTGATCCAATGCTTACTATAGATGATCATAAAACTCACTATAAACATTCTTTCTCTCTATTGCACATAGTTAAAATCCTACAATGCCAGGAAAGGCAGAAGTAATTCTAAAACAAGGAACCTTTTTCATTCTAACTAGGTGTACCTGTGGATACAAATGGGCTTGTGTGAGAGAGATGAGGAGAAAATTGATGTTGTTATCACCATCATCAGCAGTACGATTTATATTTATTCAAGGCCACTCAATAACTTGGTTGCCTTGGTGCCTCATAAACATATATATTCTTTCCTCTATTGCACCTGTGGAATGGTTGGATGCCCTTATTCACAGCATCTCTGTTTCATACAGGTTACATTTGCGTGGACAGGTCCCATACAGCCCTTCCCCATTTATTTTGGGTTTTTTTTTAAAGACCTCTAGTGAACTACAAACCATTAACTACAAAAAATAGGACTAGGGTGACCAGATTGGCAACCTGGAAATTATTTTACCACTGAAAGTTGTTGATGTGTCTAGTAAGGATTGTGGCAGGAGATTCCCACTAGTGGCTGCTGAGGGAGTTGCAAGGAGGTAGCAAGAGCTGGCTCTGTCAATCCTGCACAGGTTCAGACACCTGCTGACTGTCCAGATGCCTGGGCATGGGGATGCTGTCTTCAGTGAGCCACATGGCCAGTTTGCAGTCATGCACTGTACTACACTGATAGTCACCCCCTTTCTTGCTGCCTCATGTCTCTCTCAGGCAAGGATATGGACCCCTCTGCCCATCAGTACTTCCCCAACCCCACATCTCACTGATGGCTTTAAGGAAAGAAGAAACTCCAGGTGACCATCGGTCAACCCTACCAGGATCATACCTGTGTCTCCTACTGGGAAACAGCTCTATGCTTGAGTTTTCTGTCTAGTGTGTCCAAACAGATGGAGCACAATGCTCACAACTGAAGCTCCTACATAGCCTCTCATGGGGTGAATGAAATTCTCCTACGTTAAGGTTACCAGACATCCCTGTTTTCCGGGGACAGTCCCTGGATTTACAAATCAGTCCCCATAAAAAATTCACTGAAGTTGAAAAGTGTCCCCGGATTCATTGAAAAAAATCTGGTAACCTTATCCTATGTGGGATGGTGCGTGAGTGTGGTTAGTTGTGACTGTGGGTTCCAAGCTACAAAATTTAACCTCAGCCATGGCTAGGAGGTCTGTTCTCCCTTGTATGTGTTGGTGATCCAAAACAAAGTGGTATTGCAGTGAGGAAGGTCAGGGACTAAGTGATCTGTCAAAAGGAAGGGTCTAGTCGGCCTTGTCCTTCTTCTTTGTGGTGAAAGGGACTTTGCTGGCCACTGCACTGCCAACAGCTCCCACGCCACTGGTCATTGCTGAGACACTGCCCTTGACTAGTCCAACGCTGGCTGTAGGGACGCTGGCCACTGCTGTTTTGGTGAGTTCAAAGCCTTTGCTGCCAACCCAAGCCACTCCCCCCAGCGTTGCCCCCACGGCTCCTCGGGTGATGCTGTACAGGCCTCCTGTCACTCTCCAGATCATGCCAGACTGTGGCTGTGGGCAGTCTTTCCTAAGGTCTGAAAGATACAGAGACAAAAGAAAAAGAGAAATGGGTTAGATGCTTCTCTCCTGGTCGTTCTGAGCGATTTCAGCATCGTAGGATGTTTCACTGCCAGACGGTGAAAAGGTCAACGTGTCTCAGTACTTGGCCTCACTCCTTCAGCATACATCAGTAGCATACTCCGATGATGTTCTGACCAGCCAAGAGAAATTCATGATGGGACACACTAAAACTAAATAGGGAGCTTGTCCAATCCCTGTACTAAAAAGAGCTCCCTTCATCGTGACAGATACTGGGAGGAAGAACCGTGAGGTACTTTCAAACCTTGCTTGAAAGGATTTTAATTAATGTACTTGAAAGGTTTCTAGATGCTGCTTTGTCACAATTTATTATGCTGAGTAAATCACATTGAACTGAAAATAACAATAAAGCCATATAATGCCAATCTAAACATATATCGTATTACCCAAACCAGCACAAAACAAACAAAATGCCTAACATAGCATAGTCATACTAAACCCAGAGCAGTCTAACATTAAGTCACGGTAAAAATGTGAGTCTTAAAAGCATGTATGGAACTATCAAGAAAAGGAGCCTGCCTGACTTCATATGGAATCACATTCCATAGCTGTAGAGCCACTGCTGAGAAGGCCCTGTTCACATGGGGGAGTGTAGGAGGAGAAGGGGGGAAGTCAATGCCGGATTACCAAATAGGCAGAGTATCCATGGGCCTATGGGCTCTTTTAGGGGCCCCACAACAATGGATCAAAATAATATTGATTTGATCTTGAAATTGGTTTATTAAAATTGTTGGTTGGTAAAATAATTAAAAAAGTATTAGGAGATAATTTGCACGCTCCCCCACCCGAGCTTTTGACTGCCATGGGGCCTCCACAGGGTTTCATCTGGGGCTGGGGAAAGTCCCACTGTGCTACTAGGACTCATTACACTGGCTGCTGCTAGCATACCTACTGAGCTGAATCCAGCCCTTGGCACTGCCTACTGTGTGGATTACACTGCTATGTGATTTGGTAATTTGCAGTGCATACATGATATCCACTGTGCTGTAGATTGGGTGTGACGTTCCTTGACCACAGCCTGCTTACAGTGGCCCAGGTCAGACACAACACTAAGGGAAGCCATGGCTTAGCACCAATGAGGAAATGTGTTGGTTCCCAAAGAGAACATGGCCTCTTTTCTACTACTCCAGGTCTCCAGCTTCCATGCTGCCGTGAGCTAAGCTCTGGCTTGTCCTAGTATGATGTCTAAACCTGGGTTCAGGGTTTGTCTAACCCAGACAAACCCAGTTCTGGATAAATGGAAATGGAAATTCTTTTGACTAGTTTAAAATTAGACAACTCATGAGGTCAATACAGAAACAAGCAGTTTTTCTCCCATAAGAAAGGATGTAATTTTAACTTGTAAACAGTGGCTTGGTTTGCGAACTACCTGCATGGAATCTAGCTTGCCAGATATTGTGTGAAAGAGGTTTGTTTTGCTCCCTGAGTATGTAATTATGCTTACCTGAAATATACCAGTAACACTCTCTTTTTTTGGGAACTATTGTAATGCTAAATACCTTCCGCTGACAAAGCCCTTTCCAACTCTAGATAAATCAGTATTTTGACTGCTTTTGTGGTCTTTTTTATTTTCTTAAATGTCTGATTTCATATTCTATTCTGCCTTCTCTGAGTAAACCCTTCTCTCTCTCTCTCTCTCTCTCTCTCTCTCTCTCTTTCTTTCTTTCTTTCGCCTCGAGTTATTTAAAAGACCTTACCTGCTAATATACATATCTGCTTGGCACGATGCTTTTTGGATACATTAGCCAAGATTATGCAATAGCAAGATAGGGATGTCTCCCTGTTTTAAATGAAAAATGTGCATAGACTTCCACGTCAGCCTCAGGTATTCCATTTTCATGTGTGTTGAAGAAGCTTGCATCTATCTACCTAGGTGGCAGTAACTCTGGATAACTGCAGGTTATCCTAAAAATACCAAAACGTCAACCCAAAGTTGATAAAGAGCTACCTGAGAAAAAATATACTGTATGGAAGCACTCAAAAGGATGGAATGGCCCAACCACTTTGCATGAGGCATGTCAGCACTCAAATCTTTCTGAGAGGAACAGAAGTGGGGACATTTTTTTCAGCCCAAGGTCAACCTTCGGGGGGGGGGGGTCACAAACCAGGGCTGTGAAGCACCAGAAACAAAAGTGGGCAGAGGAATGAATGTAATTTTTGCCTTGGTACAGTAGATACGTTTCTAGCACATTCACAACCCGTTGAGCGAGAGTCACCATCAAAGTTCAGTGACACATTCCAGAAAGAGAAAAACACTCAATGTGAAGCAAGGCTGGTGAGGGGAAGTAGCCCAAGGAAAGAGGGTGTGTGGTCTGAGGAGAGAGTTCCAACAGCTATATAGAAGTTCCTCACCCCATAGTAGAAGGGAGGGCTGCCTGGTTTTTAAGCAGAGATTGTGGCCAGTTATCTCAAAGCTGTGCAGTATTGGATATGCAGCTGCTGCCTTAAATACCCCTCTGTGCTCCTGGTTGCTTCACTTGCCCTCCTCTCCCACCTGCTATTGGGAGCAGCATTTCAGTTTTGCAGGCAGAAGAGGAAGCCAGGTGAACAGCATGTGGGGGAAATGATGCAGAAGGACAGGTGCCATCTCTGCAGCAGGACCTCCTACTTGGAAAGGTGACATGCTCTCACCAGGTGTCCCTAGGAGATTCTTCCCCTTCAGCTTGAATGCCTTCTTCTATGCATTCTCTCTGTTTTAAAATGGCCAGTCATGGATCTGAGGTCACAGTACAAAAGCTGCATCCCGGGTGTCACCATTTTTGTAAGATTACACACTCTTAAGGATGGGGAATAAGCCATTCCAATAAATCCCCAGTGTGCTCGGGTGCATTTGGGGGGCGGGGGGCTTCTCTTGAGTCAGGAGGACGCATGAGAAGTGGGGAACCTGTGATTCTTCAGATCTTGCTGGACTACGGCTCCCATATTTCCCAACCTCTGCCTGCACTGGCTGGGGCTGATGGGAGCTGGAGTCCAATAGCGCCTGGAGGACAGCCAGTTTTCCATCCCTGCATTAATCTGGCAACCAATTTTAGTACCAGGCATTACTCTGTTACATTGGAAGGATATTATTATTATTAAAATTTGTACACCACCCTTTATCCGCAGATCTCAGGGCAGTGCACAACATAAAATTACAATGTAAAAACCACAAAACACATAGTAAAAAGAACAACAACAAACCAATATGAATATGAGCACTTGAGCAGGCTTTTGCACACTCTCTGCTGAATAACCACAGTGATCTGGGATGAGGTGCTGCAGCTTCCATACAGATTGGGACCTTTTTCTCCTCAAAGAAATAATCATGCACTGCTCTCCTCTGGAGAATTACAGAGGTTTTTCGCCCTCACACCCACTCTGTGGAGAATGCTGATCACCACTGCCCGGTTTAAATTCAGCCGTGTGTGTATGTGTTTATGTGGGGCTTCTAGTGGGATGTGCTTCCTGTGTCCTGGGCACTGAGGAAGCCGCAGTGATGAATGGTGCCCTGCTGAAAGCCTGCATAGTGATGTGACATAATGGTGCCTTTCCACACAGCCCAGGCCAGAGGCCCTGTCAGAACTAGTCAGCTCCTTGGCAAGGAGAACCACAGTTGCCCTGTTAGAGTCCTGAAGAGCGAGCCTCTCGGGAGCTGAACAGAGACATCCTTAAGCACCTTTTACAGTCCACAGATCACACACGGCCGGAATTCCCTGTCACAGACAAAAGCAGAGTCTGAGAAAAACAGCTCAGTGGAAAGCATCCTGTTCCCAGCCATATCCAGGGAGGTGGGGGGGGGGATATGAATAGGCCATGGGTGTCCAATCAGATGCTGTCAGCATCTCACCCACCACACTGACCCTGGCCAGGAGTGTCTGCAGAGAACAACTCCCTGTATGTGGTTGGCGCTTGCTTGGCTACTCTTCCTTCTCTCTGAACTCCAGACGTCAACAAGCTCCAGGCTGTGCTTGTGGAGGAAGCCTGCTGCTGCAATGTGCTGGTTAGTCACCATTCCTTTAAGAGGATTCTTCTCTCTCAACAAGTTGCTGGCTTAGCTGAAAGGAATCCAGGATGTTTGTTCTTCCGAACATAATTAATATGCCAGGAAAAACTGACAGTTCAGCTCAAAAAAAAAACCAACAACACACCACCTTTTGACGTCTCTCCACCCCCTTTTTTATTTTCAGCAGTGATTGAATTTAATATTGATTCTGGCAGTGGATTTCCTCAGCTCGTGAGCAAAGGGCTTGCAAAACACCAAAAAGCAGGCACTGAATAGATAATGGAATCGCAGGATCTTGGGATGCTTCACAGGGTGCCTGGAGATGTCTGGGCAAAACCTGCCCACCTCACACTCTCATCCTTACTTGTATCTGCAAGTGTGGTGCAGTGGTTAGAGTGTAAGGCTAGGACTTGGGTTCAAATCCCCACCCAGCCATTAAGCTCACCAGGTGACTTTGGGCCATTTCACAGCCTGGTCTACCTCCAAGGATTGTTGTGAGGATAAAATGGGGAGGGGGGAAAGCATGCATGCCACCTTATTTATAAATAAGTAAACAAAATTTGTTTGTCATAGCAGGCACCCAGGATGTGAGCCTTTGGGAAGAGACCACCACTTTGTTACTTGCAGGGAACTTTGTGGTAGATTGTACAGTATTGTACATTGAAAACAGGACTCTTGAAGCCATGGCCTTGTGAAGATGGCTGGGAGGTGTAGTGGTTCTCAAGCCATCCATATATACCCCTATAGCAGACTGGCACCCACAGCTACTAGAAGAACATGGAGCAAGGTGAAGTCACAAGGCTCAAGTTTTGTCCAACATAAAATGAGCTTCATCTCTACATCAAGACATCTAAGCACCTTTTTGAGAGTTCAGTTTTCCAAATACAAAGCGGTCCGCAGGTTGAATACATGCAAAGTGCTTTCTAGGATTCAGGTCAATGCATGTCTCACCAC